TTTTGTTTAGTTTTGTCAGAGCTGGGTATTCCGTTGCCATTTAGATATTGTAGTTGCATGAATTCAGCAAAATAATTCAATATAATTCAGTAGTCCTTAGGAGTCATGGGTTTTCCAAAGGACTGGCAAAAAGCAAATCACATGGGTAATGCTTGAAAGGTTAAAGTAGATTAACACAGACAAAACCGATAGAGTGTATTGACATTGCTTCAGTTTAATCCTGCAATGATTTAGGGTGTGAATGTGTGTGTGCACATGTGTGTTCATCCTTGTGTGCATCTCCATGCAAATTAGTCACAGGTGTGTAGTTATGCAAACATGAGCACAAACCTCAGTTCTGTTCCTCCAGCATAAGTTTCCTTCTTCTATACTGTTATTCATAAAAGTTTACCATGTCTTTCATGTTTATGGTAAAACTATACATTTCCCTAGAAAAAGAGTCTGGAATATAAAGGGTGAAACCATGCCAGATGGCTGGGTGTCCCACACACACTCAGAGGATGCAAGGTATTTATGTATAAATATGTATTAAGCATCTGGCTTAGGACCTCCCTCTTCACAGAAAATCACTAAATATTTCTTAAACAGGAGATCTATGTTCAACAAATGTTCTACAAATATTAAATCTTTGTATACTTCTTTATTATGAAACATCTTTAACATTGAACCCTAGCCAATTCGTCCATCAGTCTTGATGAAAAACTCCATGAATGCACTTGAAGATGAACAATGGAAGAGAGTACGGACATTGCTATCACCCACTTTCAGCAGTGGAAAACTGAAGGAAGTAAGCATGAATGAAGGTTTTTATTTGAAAATTTAAAGAATGAGTTTGTGGGAAAGTACAAAGTTCTTCATCTTTTTTCTAGGACAGCCTCCTGCAGATGAGCTTCTAGGAATGAGTTTTCCCTTTATGACCTAGGAAAAAATACACAATTACTTACAAAATGCTATACATGGGTTCATGACTCAGAATGCCTTGTATTTTGTGAGTGTGTGTGTGTGTGTGTGTGTGTGTGAATTTACCTGAATATTATGCTATTTTTTTTTTTTGCTTAGATGTTCCCCATTATTGAACAGTATACAGATGTGTTGTTGAAAAACCTGAAGCGAGAAGCAGAGAAAAGTGCTCCCGTATCCATGAAAGAGTAAGTTGCAGGACACCTGCTGGGCTTCTGAGCTCTATATAGGACCGTCCACCTGCCTGCAAGGAAGCTGATATCTCCATTTCTGAGTAAATCCAGGGACAGACAAATTCATGTGCGAAAAAGTGTTAAGGTAATGAGACTTCCAATTGTGGGATCTTCCTCTTGAAGGCAGGGTGCCTGGAGTAGAAAGGTTTGACTACTCTGTGCAAAGGAACCATGTTTATGTGAATTGGTTATTTGTCACCTTGTATGTTGTAAACAGCATACTGCACAGTTTATAAAGAAAAAATGCAATCATAACAAAGGTATGAGTGCAAAGGATGGGAACAGTAAGAGAAGAAAGGATGTGGTACAGATAGAAAAGCAATGGATGGGTGAGGAAAGATACACTCTGAAACCATGAACAACTTAGACCTCATTATGATTTGTGTCTGGTTGTTCCCCAAAAGCCTCATGTTGCCATGCGAAGGCTTATAAAGTTTGTGATTAATTTTTGATCCAGTTCTGGGATTGTGGGTGTAAGTGCTATACTTGCCCTAAGGGGGATAATATGCATCCAAATGTAAGGAGGGAAAATCAGCTGGCTAGCTGCCTTAGCTGTGGCTGCTCTCTTTGCACTTTGCTATTCTGATGACATGAACAGCTGCCCTCTTCTATGTAGCACTGTTACTTGGAGCATGAAAGTATGGACTGAAACTTCCACTAACTGTGAGCTAAATAAACCTTTCCTTCTTTAAGCTTGGGGGATGTGTATTTTGTCCCAGCAATGAGGAAAGAGTCACCAAGAAAACCTCTTTATGATTTTTCTAAAGATGCTTGAAGTACTCTAAATATTACCCTTTTCCAGTACTTCTTCTTGAACTGCAACCATAGCATTTCTTATGTAAATATGGGGTTTTTGACTTATGAAGGACGATCAGGTTCAACTCTTCTAGCAAGCTTAAATATAGGCATCTCCCAAATCAGTGTTGTACTGATTTATTATTATTCTTTTTTATTTGGCAGAATTGGGGATTGAACTCAGGCCCTTGCGCTTGCAAGGGAAGCGCTTATTCCACTGAGCCATCTCCTCGGCCCCCTGACTTATTATTTTTTAGCGAGGATTATTGTTGAGTTTCATATACTACCAGAACAGTTCTTCTGTTTGGGAAACATCAGATCCCAGGAGCTGGTAAAGTGCAGTACTTTCAGAAGATTGAACAGAAATTTGGAGAAGGGAATTGTTTTACTGGAATCTTAGAACCTTGTCCTGCCATTGTGTGATGTTCTGAAAAGGAGTGCAGTTGTGGCACAGATTGCACATCTAAGAAATCTGTATCCATGTCACCCTTTTTGACTCACTTAGGAAGAATCATTACTTTACCTTGTGCTGATGATACATCATGTTCCCATCTGTTCTCCACATTCCATACACATTGCCCATATTTTTCTGATGGACTCTTTGTCACTTTGGCTGAACTGTTTGCATGCCGATGTGGGTGTAACTCACCTTAGTGTTCTCAACACCATAGCACAAGGGCACACTAGGTCCCAATAAGTTCTCAGATGGAGTGTGGGGGTGCATAATGTAATCAGATGACACTAGATAAGTTTGACAGTGTCTGGACCTCTGATATTATTGACAGCTGTGGATTAATTCCCACACCCATGAGCCCATGAGCCTGAAGGAGTGAAAAACTGCACATATATTTATTTCTATTTGTTTATATACTCAGGATCATGGGGGCCTATAGCATGGATGTGATCGCTGGCACATCGTTTGGAGTAAATATTGACTCCCTCAACAACCCACAAGATCCCTTTGTGGAGAAAGTGAACAAGCTCTTAAGTTTTCATTTTTTCAATCCATTGATTTTCTTAGGGCGTAAGTACAATGTTTATTTCTTCTTCCTTTTTTGAAAAGAATGGATTTACTTAGGTATATATGACATGGCATATAAGTAACCTATTAAAATACATATTTATATTTATAGCATCATTGCTGTGCAAAGGAGATTATTATTGTCAACTCAGAACCTTTTTCTTTCTTATTCTTTCCTCCTAATTCCCTTGTCAAAGAAGGACTACTTTGTTTTAGTTCTGTATATTTATGCTTTCTATACACTTCTTATTAATTAAATCATAAATATGTTTTTTCAGTTTTGTTTATTTCATTTAGTGACACATTTTCAATGAAATATGAGCCAATATTTATTTTTAGACAAATAGCACTCTATTGTATACATATAACAGATTTTGTTTATCCATTCATCAATTGATGGATATTGGAGATATTTTCCCACTTTGACATTATTCATAACATGAATAATGCTGTTATGAGAAATTTCTGACAAGATACTGTTGGAATACCTGGATTTATTGTTTCTGGTGAATGGTTAGCAATGGCATTGCTGAGTTATAAAAAATTCTGTGTGTTAGACAACTGATGAATGTTTTCCATAATTGCTGCAGCACATTTTTTTCCTACCAGGATTGTACAAGTTCACACCCAACACTTGAGATTTCCATGAATGGATTGCAATCATGGTAGCATGTGAATTGTGATAGCACTGAGGTTTTGATTTGCATTTTCCTAAATTGATGACAGTGCACAACATTGGTTATTATAATGTTTTCTCTTGAAAAAATGCATGTTAAATTCTTTTCTAGGTGTACTATTTGTGCTTTTGTCTTTGAATTTCAAGATTTCACTACATCTTCTGCTCATATTTTTGTTACCAGATATATTGCATGTTACATTTTTCTGCCATCTGTCAGTTACATTTTGTGTCAGTATATATTTGTAGCACATATTGTTTAAATTTCTTCTGGAAAATTAGCACATGGGCATAGTATGCTTTTTCATATTTTAATAAGCTATTTTATTAATATGAGAGTTATGATCTTTAAAAAATAAGTTTTCTCATGTTCTCTTTGAGTTCATTTTTAAGAATACTATTCCTTTTGTTTTAGATATCTTTCATTTTGTTAGTTAGGTACTCTCTGTTTATTTAATTTTTCTTGCTGCTATTGTGAAATGTACTTATCCCATAATGTCTTTTTCAGTGATTTATTTATTGGTGCAATTCACATTTTGGTGTTGATTTTTGAATTCTGCGGCATTACTTGGTTTTTTAAATTAATTTTAAATGTCTTTTGATGGGTTTTCAGCATATCATGAGTAGGATTACATCTGCTGCAAATAATGAAAAAAACACCCTTTTTTGTTTCACTTGCCTAATTGCTTTTGATAAGTTTTGCATGCTACTTTCAGTATTAGGTGTTATAAAAGACATCACTATCTTACAGATATGGCTTTCAGGCTTTCTCCACTTAATATAATGTTGGCTGGACATTTCTCTTAAATCATTTTGTCAGATTGAGATAAGTACCTTGTACATCTAGTTTTTCAACGTTTCTTGTCTTGAAAGCATGTTGGCTTTCTTAAAGGCATTTTCTGCATCTATTAAAATCATTTTATTTTTGTCCTTACTTTTTGTATTATGTATTACACTTAAAAAATTGAGTGTGTAGAACCATTAATTCTTGCCTGGATGAAGGCTACTTGGTCATGATGTTTTTCAAGAACCATTTTCTGTAGTTGCTTTCAGCATATTGTTCTTTGCTGGATTTCTAGTATCTTGAGTGTTATATGTCTCAGTGTGTCATTATTTTTATTTTATTTCTTTTTGACACTTTCAAAACTGGTTAATAGGACAGTTTCAATAATTAATACATTGTAGATTATTATTTTCTTAGTGGTCATGCATAGTATAAGATGAAGACAGAATATCCTGTCCAAACACTATTAATACATATCTTTCTTCTCACTGAATTAAGTGAAAGTAGCTGTGTATCTATCCTAACTATTCTGTATATACAGATACAAAATGGGCCTTCTTTGTATCCCCTTTTTTGGTTCAGTTCTGTCAGAGATGGGTATTCTATTGCCATCTAAATACTATAGGTAAGTGAATTCAGGAAAATAATCAAACATAGTCCAGCAGTCCACAATAGTAGTTGGTTATCCACAGAAGTTGTTGACTTGAACTTTTCACAGTTTAGCATATTAATACAGCTTTACTTTATATACCTTGATTTTATACTTTTCTGCTGGATGGTTAAGATGAAGATGAGGCAAGACCTATATAACAAGAATTGTACCTTTTATATCTGAGAATGTCAATCAAGTCCCTTGAGGATTTATCCTGTAACCCTGTACCGCAGTTTGCAGATCCTTTGTCAGTATCAGCCATGTGGATGAGTCATGGCCATTGCTTGACCAATTTTCTCTCTGTGAAAACCTGAGAGAAAGTTTTCTCTCCATGTGAATCTCATTAGCAACACTCTATATCATCGATCAAATTGCTCTGTGACCCCATAATCTACTTGATCAAAAAATTTGGGACAGAACTGAGTTACATGATGTTACAGTGTAGGTCCACCTATGTCCTGAGTCTTCACTGACTTGAAAGGCTAGGGTCAAAAGGTTGGTTGTTCTTAAAGCCCTTCTATTTCTCTAGTTTTTGGTCTGCAAGCTTAGGTTATTAACCCTCCAGAACAGAATCTTGTTATTACCGTACAACATATGAATTTGGGATTAACCTCACTATCTGTCTGAATATCAAACGTCTTAGGCATAACGTGCAACAGGTATTTTCCATCAAGTGTTGATATATTAAACTTTAAGTCCCTACAGAATATGGAGAAAAAAATTTAAGAATCAAAAATATTTAAAGAATATGAACAAACAATTGCATATTTTTACACAGAAATTTAGAAATCTAACCATGTAGAGCATTGTAGCAGGATAGTACTGTGACATTTTTTTCTAGTGTCTTTTTTTTTTTACGTTTATTACACTTTTCCTCTTTTTTAAAAAAATAATTTACTTGAGAGACACTATGGAAATCATTGGTCTTTCATGACAAGAAGTACGTACTTCAAACACCGGAATGACAGGAATTCCAAACGTGACCCCTCTGTTACACGTTGCTATCTTCTGTGCAGTTGCCTGGTTCACAGATATCAGCATATATAGTTATTCAGAGTGAGAATCCTACCAAGTAACTGCAAGTTTCAAAAACCTTTTGATGTTTCTCAGGATCATTGCCTTACCCATCTTGTGTGTATGAATGTATGGTTTTGCCCCTGTAATGTATCCCAGATTTTCTCCTTGCCCTCTCCTCATTGTTGAATCCTCAAATTCTCATTTTCCTTGTAATTGTATTATACCTTTCTGTTTGTATTTTTTCTTTTATTTCTTATGCATACGACACTATATGATATTTACACCTGTGGGTCTGGCTTATTGCAATTATATCTTCAAGTGGCGTCCACCTAAATGTAAATGCTTTAAGTTAATCACACTTAATAGCTTAGTAATACTCTATTGTATAAAAATAGCACATCTTTTTCAACAATTCCTAATGTGTTGTGCATCTTGGTTGTTTCCAAGATTTGGCTATCACACATTGTGCTGCTATAAACATAGGTACAGATATATCAACATTATATATGACATTTTCAGGTCCTCTGGGAGAATTCCCAGTAGGGGGATAGCTGGCTTTAATGGGATTTCTAGTCCTAGTTTCTTAAAGAGTCTCCACACTGATTTCCATCATGGTTTCACTAGTCTACATTCCCACCAGCAGTGGAAAAGTGTAACCTTTCCCCACAGCCTCTCCAACATTTGTTCTTGGTTTATTTCTTTATGCTAGGCATTCTTTGTGGGTCGAGATGTTATCTCAATGTTGTTTTAATTTGCGTTTCACGAATGGCTAGTGATGTGGAGCATTCTTTCATATACTTATGCTCTTCTTTTATTTAATATTCTGTGAAGTGTGTGTTCATCTCACATGACCATTTTTGGATTGGGTCTTTAAATTTAGGGACCCTAATGTTTTTTAGTTCTTTATAAAATCTGGAGAGCAGACCTTTGTCTGAGTGATTATTAGTTATTATTTTTTAGATATTTGTTGGTTGTCTTTTCACTTTGTTGGTAATTTCTTTTGAAGTGAAAAAATGTCTCAATAAGAGGTGGTTCCAGTTGTTAATTCTTTCAAGTATTATCCATGTGATTTAATTTTTCTTCATGAAATTTTGCCTGCCCGTATGCCTTCAAGAGTTCCTCCTTGTTTCTCTTCCAGGATATTTAGTATTTATGTTTTGTTGTTTAGACCTTTAATCCACTTTGACCTTAAGTTTGTGCATTGTAATATATCTGTGTCAAATTTTAGTTTTCAGCATGTAGAGAACCACTTTTTCTGGCACCATTTGTTAAAGAGTCTATCTTTCTTCCATTGAGTATGTTTGGCTCCTTTGTCGAAGATTAGATCTCGACAGTGTCTGAGTGTCTTCATAGAGGCCTCTGCATCTTCTAATGTATTCCCTTGATCATCAGATCTATTCCGTTGCCAATGCCATGCTTATTTTTTCACAGTAGCTTTCTTGTATAATTTCAAGTCAGGAATTATAATGTCTCCTTCATTGTCTTTCTTGCCTTTGCTATTCTAGTTCTTTTCTTGTTCCAAATAAATTTTAGGAATGATTTCTCTAGGTCTGGGAGGTATGATCGTGGTAGTTTAATAGGGATTGCATTAAATATGTGCAATAATAATTTTGGGAGTATGGCCATCTTTACGATGTTGGTTCTTCCTATCCAGGAGCAGGAATATCTTTCCATTTTCTTAAATCCACTACGATCTCTTTTTTCAGAGTATTGTAATTTTCCATGAAAAGATGTTTGATTTCTGTAGTTTGATGAATTCCATGGTATTTCATTTTCTGCAGTGGTATTGTAAAAAGTATTGTTTCCCTAATGTTCCTCTCAGTGTTTTTGTTTTCTGTGTAGCTGAATACTATGGACTCTTGAGTATTGACTTT